GGAGATATGTGTCTTTTTTGGGCCCGATCCATCAGACTGTTACCTCGGGACTCATTACATTACTTGGCTATGTTCTGAGGCCTTTTTGGTCCTGGCTGGAGTTTTTGGTGAATTCTGATTTTTGCTAAATGGTCAACGGTGTGAGATCTTGTTGCTCCAATATGTCGGAATCCTGCTTTTGTGACCCGTTTAATGTTGGATTGGGGATTCTCAGAGGTAGTGGAGCCGAGTGGCCTGTGTTTTGTGCCCATTTTTGGCCTTCCCATTCATTTCCTATGGGACAGTTTTTCGCCTTTTTTCTCCATTTACTCGAAAACCCCAGAAGCAATGAGAGAGAGAAATACCAGCATTCATCCCGTGGTCGGTATGGACGAATGTGTGTTTTTTGGGCCTGATCCGTCGAACCGTGCGGGACCAGTTAGGCGCCAATATTTGTGACGGAAACGGAAAAAAGATAAGTCGCCTCCTCTGCTGTCCTACAGCTGCAGGAGTTCAGAAGTCTGCTGCTCCTGCAGAGTGGAGTTACTGGAGGAGCCAGAACAACCAGCAGGGGGCAGCAGAGCCCTGAGCAGAATGGCTGACCTCTGACCTCTGAGTGTGTGAAAAGGAAGAAACACTTCTATCCCTTCAATCTGCAGCTAGAATCAGTGAAAACTCCAGACTGTTAGCAGTGAGGGTTAACGGTGATGCTCAGTCAGAGCCTGTGATGATGTCACTAGAGGGGAAATATGATTGGACACCAAGGCGGCAAATCAGTGTGAGATCTGGGCTCCTGGCTCCAATATGAACCGTACGGGACCCAAACTAGGCCCCAAACTTTGTGACGGAAACTGCAAAAATATAAGTCTCGGAATTTGGGGATTTTTTTTCAGATTTTTACCAACATGTCAAAAGTGATGGCGTTAAAACGATGTCAACAACCTGTCGGAGGCCCATCTGTCGCTGCCCATTCAACCTTTGAATGAGGTTTCTCAGAGGTTGTGGGGCTGAGCGATTAGGCCCAGAAGCAGCCGATGTTTTTGGCTCGTTTTTGGGCATTCCCATTGATTTCCTATGGGACTGCGCTTCACCTTTTTCACCTTTTTCGCCTTTTTCGCCTTTTTCGCCTTTTTCGCCTTTTTCGCCTTTTTTGCTGTTTATTCTAAAACGCCAGGACTAATGAGGGAGAGAAATACAAGCACCTGGTCTGTGGTTGGTACGGAGATATGTGTCTTTTTTGGGCCCGATCCATCAGACTGTTACCTCGGGACTCATTACATTACTTGGCTATGTTCTGAGGCCTTTTT